GTAATAGTTTGCTTCAACAAAGAATATTTTCTTAATAATAGTTTTAAGATATACTTGTTACTAGTCTTAGAAAAGCTTGCCATCTTATACTCAAAGAAAGAATTTATTCTTCTTTGAAGAAAATCATAAAACTTATTGAAGAATTCCGTATGCTTCTTTTAATAAAATCAGAAAAAACAAAATTGTTTCGCTTCAAATAATTCTACGTATTCTTGTTTGAAGTACTATTATACTAAGAACCAGAATATGTTTTGAGTAAATATAACACTTGCGACGACATTATGATAGATTTGCGGATATATAAGCTTATCAAATACTTGGAACAAATAATATTTATTTGCAGGTAGTATATATTTTTCTGTGTGTACCGTATACGCTTCATCCCTATGTCGGGCGGAGTATCACTCGGGAAAAGGGACGAAGGAACCTTCCCGAGGACTTGTCTGAGGGCGCCTCGTGAGGAAGTCCTACGTCCGGCATGGAGGGCTTTTATTTTAGACGTTACATTAGACGTTCTCCTTGCCCTGGAGCTTGATCGCGAGATCGGCGACGAGCTGCTTGTACAGGAGCGGATCCATGTTCTTGCCGAGCTGGTAGAGGACGAACCAATCGCCGATCTGGCACTTGTCGCTGATGATCTTGATCTGGTCCTGCGGCGAGAGACGCGAGCGCGCCCGCAGCAGCAGCATGCGCAGCTTCGGGCCGACTATCACCGCGACGCGGTAGAGCAGGCTGAGGCCGCTCAGGACCGACAGGATGATGAACCAGAACCAGAGGAACACGTAGATCTTCTCGTTGACGATGTTGAGCGGCAGCACGCAGAGACCGTCGTACTTCTGCACCGAGCCGGACGCACCATACTTATAGAACGTGCACTTGGTCACCTTCGGGAACACCTTCGACATGGGGTCGATGCGCTCCTCGGGCTCCATCTCGGTGAACCTGATAACGTCGGAGCCGTACGTGGTGAACTCGCCGTCCAGAAAGAAGTTTATAAAAAAGATCTGGCCGACCACGTTGACGAAGTTGAGCAGCTCGCACACGAAGAAGCGGTACGCGTAGAAGTTCTGCGAGTGCAGATTCATGGCGAAGTAGTCGACCAGCAGCTTACGCCGGTCGCCCTTGCAGTCCTCGCTGACGACCGGACAATTGAGGTCCAGCACCAGCATCTTGATTCTGCCGCCCTCCCATATTTTCCACAGGTAGCGCGGCAAGTAGAAGAGGATCGCTTGGAAGAAAAGAGTGAAGCAGACCCACTGATAATATTTGTGGTATTTGACCTCGTCGACGCCCTCTACGTGCGGGCCGACCCCGGGATGCACGACGTCCTTGCCGATGACGCCGGTCCGTTGCGGGATCGTGAAGGTCGAGTAGATCCAGCAGTAGGTGTCCATCACGTGCAGCGGTATGTCATCGACGATGCAGTCGATCGGGTCGCCGATGTACTGCCGCGAGGTCACCAGCAGGGAGAAGATGATGAGCCCGATCACGGTGGCCTTGTAGTGCAGCCGGAACACATTGTTGTCGATGCACACGGAGTCGAGCTTGAGCAGCCCCTTGACGGAACCGAACACGTCGAACATGGTGGCGGCCGTGCGTCGTTTACCCTCCTTTTCCTTTCACTACCCGAATGCTCTCGCACACGCGTGCCGATGCGCCCGATCGCCCGGTCCGGTCCGCTCACAAACCGAATTCGTTTTGTAGCAGCCTCCGCGCGACGCGACACCCGTCGTGCGCGCTCGGCAGCTTCCGCGCTTCCTCGTTCTCACTCGCGTAACGCCAACCCCTCGGTGGCGGTAGCGGCGGCGGCAGCGGCGGCCGATCGGCGTACGTTAATTCGTTCCGTCTCGCGTGCGCACACACGTGCTCCACGCTACACTCTACGCTGCGCGGACGGCGTCGGCGATCTGCGTTCGCGCGTTTCACGCCAGCGAACAACGGGCTAAACGCGCGCTATCGTCGCGCTCGCGTCACCGAGCGGCTCTGTCGTAATGGCCGCGCTCGAGACGCCGTGCGCGACACAAGCACGCGAGGACACGGCGTTCCACGAGCCGCTGCTCCCTTTTCTCTACCTCTCTCTCTCTCTCTCTCTCCCTCGCACTCTAGTCCTCCCCCTCGCTGTCGTCCTCTCTCCGTCTCGCCAGCGCGCGCGCCGTGCGATTCCCTCCTTCTCCACCTTGTGGCGTACAGGCCGGTCGGGGACCGAGAACTGTTCGGCCGCTTCTGCGGCGCGGCAGGGAGGCTCCGTTCCCCACCTCGTGGAAACCGACGACGACTCTACTTCTCCCGTGGCTTCACCCTCCTGACGCTCGCCGTCCTCTTCCCGCTGCCCCGCCGTCGGCCGACCTCTCGCTCTGGCCCGCGCGCACACGGTCGGCGCGCGCTCGGCCGCTCTCGGCTTCTCGTCTCGTGGCGCGCTCGGCAGGCATCGGCGGCCCTCGGGCGCCGTCGGCTCGCCTCACCGCGCGCGGCGACATGACTCTCGCATGGTTGTTACCATGGCGACTGGCTACCGATGCCGCGGGAGCGTGGGATCTCTCCGAGAGCGCTTTGATCCGTCTCGCATCCACTCGCGAGCGCCGCCAGATCGTTCCTTCTACCGTTTCTCTATCTCTCGTTAGGATTATCCGGGAATGCACTTTCCGTACCTCGGTATATTGGATAGAGAGGGCAGTCCCCTATTATGAGATAGGCCCCTTATTATATGTACGAGACAGCAGGTTTTCAACATCCAAATTCGACCGGAATCCTCTCTCGCGGCGATTGTACAATCTAACGATCAATCTTTTGCTAAACGGATCTCACCCCAGGGACATGTAAATTCATGGCGGGACCAACAGGCGATGCCTATTAATTGGATAGAAACCCCGCTGTCTCATATTTAGAGCCTGCCTCGTAATAGGGGACATTCCTCCATGTATTTTTTCCGTATCTTCGTAGTTATTAGGTAGAATTCACAGGGCAGATTCAAACTTCTAATCCGAGACCAATTTTCGTGTAGCATACGATGAGAATTTCATGGAGACAGACATACATAATTGCATGAATATTAATATTGACACGAGGAAAACTAGTTTTCTTTCCGTTTACGTTGACTGTATTGTCGGTAAGGAAAAATATATGTTAGTTGATTCCAGCAATAAGTGGCGAATCGAATTGCATTCCCGGATTCTCAAGCGAGTTGATCTTTAAATATCATTTGTACGTTTCGTATTGTCAGACTCTCTCACAAAAGCCGATTTTACAGCTTTCGAATTGTACACGGGGAGAGAATTTTCTCTTAAAATTTACCCTGAAAATCGCGCAGTCGTGGGACAACATGGCAGAATTGCCATTTGAAGAATTTCATGGGAATTTTACTAGTAATTTTACTTAATAGTAATTCTATTAGTAAAATGTATGGTAAAATTTCAGAAAACTCTCATAAAATTTCGCAAAAAATGCCACGTTGTCCCACGATTACCCGATTTTCAGGATAAATTTTAAGAGAAAATCCATTTATTTTAAAAAGATGAACAAAATTTAACTAAATTCACGAAGTTTGGCTAAATCACAGACAAACTCGTCTGCGAATCCATCGCACTCCCGCAACGAAAGAGAACGAGAAGCAAGCGGAAATCACGTTAAATTCAGCGTGAAAATATTGCCGAAATTCTACAAAATACCAAAAGTTAGCACGTTTCACTCTCTCTGGGTCAGTGACATAATTACGGTCTGAAGTCTGACGTAACCCATGAATGAAAACGAGCAAAAAAACTGTACTGCTCCTTTTTTATTTACGCGCGCAACATTGCGTGACAAAGCGTGACGCTCGCATGACGCAAGGATAATATCTTTATCCAAACGTGGCTCGTGCCGCAAAGCTCTCACGCCGTTTTACTCACGACATTTATACTCCGAGCGGATTTACGCGGATCTTATAGCGCGAATACGCGATTACGGTAGCGACGGCGCAGCATTACGTGCTGTATAGTAAACTGAGCGACACAGTGGCATGTTTGAGCTGAGAAATTCTGGCAGTAGTTCCGTTTGGGACGTTGAGCGGTTCGCACGTCTTCTGGCTGAAGAGAAAACTTTTCATACTCGCGGGTTGCATCATCCAATAGGGATGGCATCATCCCGCGCGAGGTCCGGTAGTTCCTCTGCATTGTGTGACATCAAAACGTGATTACACGATAAGACATTTACACCATCAAGACTACTGGTTCGTCGTGGCCGTATCGGCTCAGTGAGTGAGCCGGGAGCCAATAAACTAGTAGAAGAATTCTGGCAGGTCCACCAAATCGCTGTTACCTGCCTGCCCTTGATTTTCTCAAGAGGAAATCTTTGGGGTGCTCAAGGGAAGTGCTTTTCTTTCGAATAGGTCAAAGGAAAACTAAGCCTGTGGGAGACATAAATCCGTATAAGATTTCTTCTAGTTATTCCTCGATAAAAGGAAAACTTTCTGTACTAGGAGACTCGAATTTTTCGCTATAATATTCGACTGATTGTTATGCCGAACTAGTGTTCAATTTAATTGTCTCGGAAATGACAATCCTGCAAATATTTCACATTATTAATTAATACATGTAAAATTAGTTAAAGAATTAAAATTACAATACGCACGAGGCCTCGTCGGCTTATTCGCGAGATTAATAAATATTTAAATACATTACTGTAATAATGTACATAATTAATATGAGGGCATTAATCATTTTATAATTGTATTACGCAAATTGGCGCACTAATTCCACTCATCCGGCGCACCGAATCGTAAATCATGCATTGATCATCGTACGCCGTTAGGTACGTGCTCCAAATATAGAACTAGTGTGATGAAACCTGCGCCTCTCCGCTGATTAATTATTCTCGCTAAATCTATATTTAACAGATCGCCACTTAGGCTTGGGCTATCGAAGACCGAGTAACGGATACCTAAGGATACCTCGGCGAGACATCGTTCGCGGGTAGCGTCAGCAGGATAACGTTATCTGGCTGAGCAACCCTATCATATTGCGCTAAGAAAGCGTCAGATGTTAAAGTAATAGCCAGCTGTTTGAGTCATCTCGTAGAAGATTCGCGTCCGAGTAAGAATCGCGTCATCTCGTTATCCGCCGTTCAAGCAGGACTTTGCCAGGCACGGGTGCGGATGAATCAGCGTGCCGTTCCACGAAAAAGGATCTTTAACTTTCTGGTAGCGCCGAGAAGGGGCCATAAAATGCTCCAAAGACCGAAGAATTTAAACCGGTTGAAACCCGGTCGATTGAATTTTCGAAGTCGCTCGGACAAAATCTTTCCTATTCCGTGACATTATTGGCGAACATATATTTCGCCTCGGTCGCATTTCACGAAAGTCGAATGTTTCACGCGGAACGATTTCTTTAATTATTATTTACGATATATGACGTTTCTCGCCGAGCCCGAGGCGCTCGTGGAAAAGATAGGGATAAATTGTAATCTTAGTTTGAAGTAAAGTCAACATTTCTTGTAAAAATCTTGTAACTTCCGAGCGGCTCTCTTTACGCAACACGTAACTGGTATCGCTATGCATTGACTGATATAATGTTGATACCAGATAAGGCAGTGATATATGTATTAATTGCATAAAACGCAGATAAGGTAAATTATATCCTATTATACAAACATTTGACGATCTGACAGTCGTTACTGATAGGTATACGTAATCTTATTGATATACGTAATTTGATCTGAGAGATGAAAACCATAATATTACGATTATTGAACTTGTAGTCGATGTTACATGTAATATCACTACGTGTGTTTATACGTCGAACACGACATACACGACATAACCAGAGTATAATCACTGTAGTTTTCTTTACTGATAAAAATATCTTTCCTTTCTTCTTACTTTATAGAAAATGTTAAGTAAATATCTAAATAGAAATTGTAGGGATAATATATGTAATTAATAGTAGTTACTTCTTTGTCTGTGAAAACATCTCAGGTTATCGTTTACGTAGAAAAAAAACTAGGTTTAAGAAACATCCGGCTACGTTCTTGAGTTGATATTAATTTAAATATTTATTCTTATATCTTGTTCTTTCTTAAAAATACCACCAATGAGTTCGTTTAATATTGCGATATTGTTTCGTTAATGAGTTAAAATTAATTTAATTGAAATTTATTAACATACTATAAATTTACAGATTCCAGAAAATATGATCAGCTATTATTTTTTAAATAATCGAATAAACTGTATATATATATATAATAACTGTGTGCAATAAATCGTGATATCTCGCGAGAAGAACTTATGATACAAAATTAAAGCAACACGACTCTTTACGATCACTTTATGTATGATTCAATGCAGACAAAATTCGATGAAATATGCCAGATGAAGTCGCTAGATGTCTTTTTGAGCAACACAATGATCATTTATTATCTCACGTTTCACAAGAAAGTTATGAATATAAATAGTTTTATACTTGTCGCGAAGCTCGTACGCTCAAGGACGGTCCTGTGGCGCAACGGATAACGCGTCTGACTACGGATCAGAAGATTCCAGGTTCGAATCCTGGCAGGATCGCAAGAATTTTTTTTACTTTTTCGACTCGAATTTTATTTGATTTTATTTTGAAGAACTCACTCAGCAGGAATTAATTTTTACTACGAAACGCGACTGGTTAATTTTTCATAAAAAGATCTGAATACTTTTCCTATTATCTATTTTCGTCATTAAAATAAATATTATGCTTTTTAAAGATGTTTCGATTCAGATTCGTAGCAAGATTTTTATTCGTCTATGCTACTTTCGTGTACTCTTTAATTGGAAAAACTGTGTGAATACATTATGTATTGCTATAAAATGTCTTAATTCATACTTACGAAAACTATTAACTAATAGCTATTAACCGAATCACATTTGTCAAGAAATAAGTATTCTCAGTAGTCACTCCATTTAGCCATACATTGTCATTAGTCGATTGATTGAAAAAGATAAACAAAAATAAATTACATCGATATTAAAGTCTGTAGGTATTGTAAGGTTGTAGGTAAAAAATGGGCATTAGCGGAGCAATTGCTATAACAATATTACTATTTTTTATATATATTATACTTGTAGAAGTCATTATTCTATCTGTTTACTCATACGTCTTCCTATTACTACCTTTATGTTAGAAATAAGGTCAGGTTACGGAAGGTCCTATCGCATCTGCTCTTGTCTCATTATTTAGAGTCATGGTCACGCATCTTTCCGTCGTTATCGCGAACGCAACGCGTGTAAAAGAATACCTTATTCAGCGTCGCACCCAGCATTAATTGCTTGTACTTGATGGGTCAAACGAATTAACCCATCACCGTTGATTCCTCGTTGTATGCGAGGGCCGATGGTAAGGCGTGCGTAAGCCGAGAAGGGCCATCAGGAATGACAAGAATCCGGCGGCTACTTCGACGTGTAACACGCCTTCGTGTCTATACCTTTGTGTTAATCAGAGAGCGCGCTTCTGATCTTTGAATAGTTTGAACGTCATTTCGTGATTCAAAAATAGACGAATAGAAAGTTACATGCGAGATGTAGGAAAAAGGCATTTAATACCAATATATTTTTCTAACAGATCCTAAAATCTTTTTTGTACGAGTTGAAATTTAATATTCTTCAAATTATGCATGTATATTTATTTATCAAAATAGCTTTAACCATTTAACATTTTGTTTTATTGTGAATATTTGTTACTCAGTTTTTTCGTCTCGAAGAATCATTACATTGTCATTGAAGTACTAAAATTTTGAAAATTTCTTGTAAACCTAGAAATATTTTTGAACAAACATTTTAATTTAAAATGTTAAAAATATTAATTTATGTAATGCTATATAGTTATACCTTTTAACTTTTGATTAACTTAGAAGCGAAAAGCTCTAGTGGACAATGGCGCTTTTCTTCTCGCGAAAAGATTAGAGTAACGTTGGCATTTGATGGAAACTAATTTTAGGTTTTAAGCTTATAATATTTAATTTTATCTCTTTTCTTTCATTTTAGCTTTAGTTCCATTTCCTGTGATTAAAATCCGAAGAGGAAACTGTCTAGTTTGTGACTGTACAGTTTTAATCTAATCAACGTTTATGATACGACAACCATGGCCACCAGTCCCTTTTAAAATTCGAGGTCAGTGACCTTCTTGGTATTTCACATGTCAAGGAGAGTTGGTTTGTCTTGAAAAAGAAGTTGCGGTAGTAAAGTGAAGCTGAATTCTTGTTAACTACGTCATTCTACATTTCTATGCGTTATGATAATATAATAAAATAATTTTACCAATGTTTTTTCTTTCGTGACATGTATATTTTGTAATGTTATATGAATAATACAATATTCATTTTTACCCATTTGCAAGAGAAAACATTTTAACATATAAGGCGTATCTCACTCTCAAGTTTTGTTTCTTGTTTTTTTACTTGTATCATGCCATGTTATTTATGTATACAGATATATATATATCTGTAACATTTATATAATTTTGTCTTTTAAAGATGGGAATTTCCTAGCGGAAAAAATTTCTATAAATAACTACAAAAAATTAACTTTTAAAACAGAAAATTGTAGAAATTTTTATATCTTCGAACATTTATTTCTTTGTAAAAATATCTATGAATCAGTACCACAATTTACAATGCTCTCTAATCACTAAATTATTGCAAGTAGTATTTCATGAAAATGTACAATTTTGTAAAAATTAGTACAAAGTTTTAAAAATTTGAGAAACAACAAAATCTTAAAAAATTAAAACATCTGCTTACATGTAGAATATTATAAAAATTAATAAAAGTGTCCCAATTCTAGCATTTTCATGTTGATTTTTGTAACACTGTTTTAATTTACGTAGAATTTCTTAGATTTTAGCAGTATATATTTTTTTGTAGAATTTTGTAGAATTATTTCCGGCAGGGTTGTTTCTACTCGTTAAAATCTACTTCCTTATAATCCATTCTCTAGAGATTTACATTCTCGTGGAACACGGTACTTTCTTCTACTTCAGATTCCTTTAAATTCCCAAATGAATGGACTTTATTTGAGATCGTCAGTTTTCGAAATGGAATTTCGGCAACACGACGCAAACCGCTGCGACGCTGACTGGCTGGCCGATCGCTCGGGCATTTCTATGAATCAGCTCGAGAATTTTTGACTGCGACGGGTTTCTCTTACCTGTGGCCTGCGGGTAGGCGTCGACGAGGCACGATTCTCGATACATCAGCTGGTGCGGGTACCTGTAACTTCTCCTTTCCCTTCTCTCTCTTTCTCGCAAACAGCTAGAGCGAGCGACATGATCGGACGGAGAGAATGATTAAGAGAGAAAGAAAGAAGAGAGGGCCGGTTTTTCTGGTTTTCCACCTTCGCAACCTCGTGGTCTCTTCTGTAGTCTTCTCTCGTTACCTTCACACAATGAGATGCGTATGCATCTTCGCGTGGCCAACTGATAAACGAATAATTATAATATGTGTGCGTATACATGTATGTATGTATGTATATATACATGTACATATGTAATGTAATATATGTACAAAAAATATATGTAAATATATATGTACATACATACATACTTATGTATCTTTAATTGCTATTGCAATAACAGCAAATATTCATCTATTTTAAACATTTATGCACTGTTCTAAACATACGTTTGTTTTTAGCATATTTTAAACGTGTTTTAAAATATACATTTTAGAGCAAGATTTGAAACATAAGTTTTAGAATAAAAATATTAATACAATTATTTTTATTCGTATACATGACCAGAACTTCGTTATTTATTTTATTCAATTGGTACCTCATAGAAAATATATAGTACAACGCATCAAACGTTTTGTTTCTCACGATAAGTATATATCGAAAGAGGGACGTGAAATATCAAATGTAATAGGTAAAGTGACAATAAGTCATACATGATTTATTATTAATACTGATTATAAGTTATATGTATACGTATTGTGACAAAATAAATAAATTTCATTCTTTACCACGCTTATATCAAGTTGAAAAGAAACATGTAATTATGGAAAAAAGTGAAGTAAATGTGGAATAAAGGGTTGAAGTCGTTTTTTCCCTACAAACCCTAGCGGAAAAAATTTCTATAAATAACTACAAAAATTGACTTCAAATAGAAATTTGTAGAAAATGTTGTATCTTCGTTGAAACATTGATTTTTTGTAAAAATACCTTTGAAATAGTACCACAAATTACAATGTTCTCAAATCAAGAAATTATTGCAAGTAATATTTCATAAAAATGTACAATTTTGTAAAAATTAGTACAAAACTATACTAGTTTTAAAAATTTGAGAAACAACAAGATCTTAAAGAATTAAAACATCTGCTTACTTGTAGAATATTACAAAAAATTAACAAGTGTTTCAATTCTAGCATTTTTAGGTTGATTTTTATAACACTTTTTAAATTTACGTAGAATTTATTAGATTCTGGCAGTTGTTTTGTAGAATTTTATAGAATTATTTTCGGTAGAGAATTCAAACATTTTCCGAGAATTTCGACGCCTTTTCCCGATGACTTTATTCATTTCCTTGGATATAGCAGAGCTAACTGTAGCATACATTAAAGTCTGTCTTGATATAGCGGCGCAATCTACATGATAAATAATCAACGACCTCGAGTGATCTACCATTTATACACTTCTTTGCATAATAAGGTAGTGGATAAACCCATTTATCTTGTAAAAAAAGTGTTTTTGCAGTGATTTAGATTAAAAAATGATCAAGAAATGTAGAATTACGTAAGATTCGTAAACAAAACAACTTATAATCATCGCGATAATGAAGAATCGCTATATTTTCATGTGAATAATTTTCATACACCTTCGCGATAAAACAACATACTTAAAGTTACATTCCAGTACACACATCGACAGGCAAAGCCAGGAAAGTGCCACGTATCGTGTATCGTGTTCTAAAAACAGCGGCAGTTTCTAACGAGCATTGCCGCGAGTAACAACTTATCGTCTCTTCAAGAGTCAACTGGCTGATCAACGATGGCTATGTCCGTACGTAATCTTGCGCAACCTCTCGCGAGATCATGATCACGCTTTTTAAAATTAAACGTGGCTTGATGTTTTAATTTATTTTCAAAAGGAGCATGAACGACTGTACACTCCGAGCGAATGGAGCAAACGATACAAATCTGAGGAACTGCTCGAGCGATTCTTTAAATTCTGCGAGGAAGGTAAGAGGAGTTTCTTAAATCTTTCTCGACGGGAATCGCACAGTTGCGATAAATCTTCGCGAGCCTCGTTAAAATTTTTCCCATCTTACGACTGCTACGCGCCGTGAGAAAGGCGTGTCAAGTGTGTTCGCTTAAGGTCTTTGTTGTCGCAGTTACGGAAAAGACTCGAAAAACTGTTGAGTGCGAGCTCAATGTACCATACGGCCCTACGGAGCGTGCAAAGTACGACATATACGGCACCGATTTACCGGAAGGTATGTTATACAGATGTAATGACGACTTGATTGCTAGAAGATAATTTTCCCACAGGTATCAAACTTCGCCAACGATATCTGAATTTTCAGCTAAAAATTATTTCTACACTGAAAAAAATTTCTGGTTGAATATCGACGAATCAGATAATTCCTTTAGGATTTACCAGAATTTCTGTAGGTTTACAGGAATTCTGGTAAATCCTAAAGGAATTATCTGATTCGTCCATATTCAACCAGAAATGTTTTTCAGTGTTCAGTTCAAATTGTGAGTTTATCTCTCCTCTATGTCTTGCTTATCTTGAGAGAGACGCGATTATGAAAACGCAGAGATATAGAATAAATGGAAGAAAAAGTCAGTACACTGAAAAAAAAATTTCTGGTTGAATATGGACGAATCAGATAATTCCTTTAGGATTTACCAGAATTTCTGTAAGATTACAGGAATTCTGGTAAATCCTAAAGGAATTATCTGATTCGTCCATATTCAACCAGAAATGTTTTTCAGTGTACTGACTTTTTCTTCCATTTATTCTATATCTCTGCGTTTTCATAATCGCGTCTCTCTCAAGATAAGCAAGACATAGAGGAGATATAAACTCACAATTTAAGCAATTAATCTATACACTTATAAAATTTATGCTTGAAAATCGATGTATTTTATCTAGACATTTAGTCGATAAATTTATAAAATTCGTGCTTGAAAGTACTCGATTAATTTTATTTAGAGGTTTGTCCGTGTTTTCAATAAATGAGGTGGAATTTGCTTCCAAGGTCGGAAAGCTTTTACTGGCAAACTATATCTATACATCATCTAGTCTGACCTGAATTGCTTAGTTCTTCGATAAGCAAACTAGATGCATGTATAAATATAAAAAAGCAGGTAATTAACGGACCACTCTCGATAACTTTAACATATAATATGTTTTACAAACGCCGGCCGACGGCTAAAACTTCTTGAAGGTCACTCAGCTTCAGGACCTTGACAACATACATATGTCAAGGTCATCGAGATTGGAGGGTGGTCTGTTATACTAAATAATTACCAAAAAGCAATTTGATTGTACAACTTGTTTAACTTTGAAATATAGTATATGAATATTAAGGAAACTATTTTTGAAATATTATACATTAATATTTTCACTCCATATTCCATCTTCCAAATCTCTAGTTCTTTTTAACGAGCTGCTAGCTGTTAGATTGCATTATTTCTTAGCGATGGTATTTTTTCTCACCTATAACGTAATGTATTTCAGATGCACCGATATTTGTGTTTATCCACGGAGGATACTGGCAGGAATTCAGCAAGGATCTCGCTGGGTTCTCGGTACCCTTGTTTGTTAAAAACAAAATCAAAGTAATAACAGTTGGATACGATTTGTGTCCGAATGGTGAGATAGCGCAAAATCCTATCGAATTATACCGCTGTCTTCTTTGTTCTTAATTATTTATTAGTTTGTGTTGTTACAATTTGAAACTTTATAAAATTACTTAAGGGTGTTAACAGGTACATAAAAGAAAGTGCCCGGTAAACAATTTTTTATGCACGAGCACGCATAGTGTTAATTATTGTAAGTTACGAAATTTATAATTATAAAATTGTATTGTACATGAAATATGTCCATACATATTTTTACATTGTACATATATTTCTATATAATTCTATACAATTCTATACAGTTGTATATAATTTTACAAAATTTATACTTGTGCCTTTATAAGAAAAATTTTTCATATAAAGGCACATGTATAAATTTATAAAATTATATACAACTGTGTAGAATTGTATAGAAATATACAATATAAAAATATGTACAGACATATTTGATGTATATTTTTATATGATTTTATATATTTATTCATGTTCATGTACGAAAAGTTTTTTACCTGGTAAACATTTGTAAAAACACTGAGAAATTTTACAATTTATCATTATATTAGAAACTCAGATTATCTTATTATAACATTGGTATAAAGAATTGTTTTCTTGTACTGCAGTCCGAATTGGAGATATAGTAGCGGAGATAAAATCAGCGGTCGCGCAGATATTAAAATATGCGGCTGATTCAGGCTCCAAGTATGTTCCTTAATATCTTTATTTTTTTACTCGTATACTAGGAAATTAAAAAATTTTTACATATAAACACATAATGTACATAGGTACGTGTGCATCGCTGGACATAGCGCCGGAGCGCATTTGGCTGCGTGTCTATTGCACGATGATGATTGGATCGATGACATGAAACAGCAAGGATATTTTGCATTATTAAAGGAAATCATACTGATAGCTGGCATTTACTGCTTAGAACCTTTAGTTGATATCAGTTTCGGAGAAGCCCTTAAACTGACTGAGTATACTTTTTTCCTCTCTTCTCTCAATGGAATATGTATATGCAACTTACAATAAATATAAATTGTTTTCAGCGAAGAAATTAAGGCATTTAGTATTTCTACTCTCAAAGAAGCAAAAGGCCGTCGTATCAGTGGCTTGAAAGTTACCGTAATCGTAGGTGATTGCGATTCTCCAGCGTTTGTAGATGAATCGCGCAAATACGCCCAGGTACTTAATTAAATATTAAATTAATTTTTTACAGGTGAGAGCTTTTACAGTGTAAACTATACGTCAAACCGTGTACACATTACAGTATAAACAATACGTGAACCGGGGTACACATTATAAAATAAAAGAACCCTAGTGCAGCAATAAAAAACATATCTATTATGTATTGAACGTTATTGTGTAAATCCGTATCGAACTAAGACTGTTGTATTGTTTTAGAAAATTATTCCCATTGTGGATAACGTGGAATACTGTTTACTTCAAGACATCGATCATTTCGACATAGTAGAGAAACTTCTGGATTCGAACCATCACCTCGCTAAATTGATATTGAAGTGTCTCCAACCGGAAGCGAATAATTATTAAATGAGTATATGAACAGTTAAAAGGGACCATTACTCGTCATAAGGCATTGTTCAATATTCGTTAAAAATTAATATTTTCTAGAAAATATTTATTAAGAATTATATTAATTATATTAATTATATTAATGTAACTATATATTTGGCTTAACTAGAAATGTTATGTATAAACATTGATTATACAACATAAAGATTGATCACCTTATCAAGTCAGTGTTACTGCTTTGTATAACAATGATCCAAAAGAGTAGCCCTTGCTATATATTTGAGTCATTTAGACTTTGTTGTTGAAGAACTCGCATCCGTTTGCTTCGAGACGGGTTGCACTATTGGTTTCTTAGATATTATAACCGACTTCTTAGGTATAATTCGAACTATCGTCTCGTTTCCTTTCAAGGGTACTTGGTGTCTTACAGCAATGGTATTTACGTTCTGCGGTTGACTTTGTTGATTGGCATTTTGTTTGATGGGTGGCAGTCGGATAATCGTAGGTGCACGGATGGGTGCAATAATTTCTCCCGTTCGCGGATTCACCTTCAAGTAATTGTTCGTAATATTTTTGACACTGATTATACTTCTTGATGCTGGTATAACCAGTTGATGTTTCACTATGGGAACTACTTTGTTTCCGACTTGAAAAGCACACTTAGTAATAACAGACGATGACTTGGACGTTCCCTCATTGGTCAAATCAACTATTTCTTTAACCAGGTTCACTTTTTTTGGCAAATCTTGGCTGGTCTTATTTATTTTGTGCTGACTGTCCTCCCAAGTCGTGGGAGGTTTAGCGAATGAACGTAATCGCAATACAGGCTTCTTTTCCTCTCCAGGTTGCTCATCGTTTGGCATATTTGCTCCATCTATCCCATCCTCTGTTACTACCTCTGTCTCATCTATTATCTCTGCTGTGTTTTCCACATTTGTTGTCACCGTTACATCTTCTGTTACCACTTCCGTTGCACCCTCTGCTATCGACTCTGTTGCATCCCCTATTATCAGTTCTGCTGCATCTCCTGTTATCGATTTTGTCGTACTTCCGGTTATTGTACTTGCTACATCATTTGTTATCTTCTTTGTTGCAGGGTCCGTTATCACTTTGAATACTTCCACTTTTGCTAAATTCTCTAAAACATACATATAAAAAAAAAATATATATATATATATATATATATGACTCCTCTGTTTTTATTTAATTTCATGTCTCCAAACTTATTAATATATTTACTTGCGCAGTTTGTTGTAGAATCCGCTGGCGAGTTCTCTGGCGTTACAGTGTTCGTAACGTTCTTTGGAATAGTAATGCTGCTACATGGCTTGTGTGTTATCTTCTCGTTAATTGTTTTATTCTCATTCTTTGATATTGCTATATCACCCTTTTTTAAAACATTTACTTTAACTGTTTCGTTTAACCGTTTCTCTTGTAAGATATCTGCTGTAGTTTTATTAGAAACGGCTTCGTCCACAATACAATAAGCATTTACCACATTTATATTAGGTTTATTCTTGTCTATAGGTAATTTATTTTCTTTAACTGTTTTATCTATGTCTTTTTCATCATTACTATCCTTCTCGCTTGTCATAGATAAGGTCTCATCGGTTTTATCGTCATTTATAGTTTCTTTTTCTTCCTCCTCCTCCTCCTCCTCCTCATCCTCGTCCTCTTCTTCTTCCTCGTCCACCAAAGCTCCATTATTTTGTTTTTTTAATTCCATTTCTTTCTTAACATATTTCTCGAATACCGCAGCTAATTTTTTATCACCCTCAATACGGTTCTCGGCTAGTTTTCTCGCTAATTCTTTATCTTTTACAGCTGGATCTTCTTTATTTTCAAGATATAAAGAAAAGGTGTCCCAGTAATCGTTCTGCCTTGCACGTTGTAAGTGTTTTCCAATATCTTTGAAAGCATCCTCTGCTGCAATATGACATAAATATAAATAAATATACAGCAAAATACATCGCGCCAATAAATAAACGTAAAATTATAATACGCATCTTACCCAACGTTCGCCGGTCATCCTCATCGATATTCAAATTTTTTCTCGCATGACACTTCTCAATACATTCAGCGATGTCTCTATAATCAGGGAATATTACATCTTCTGTCAGTTTACTAACTTCTGTCCTTCTCATTTGACTTTTATTTCGCTGGTAAATTTTACAATTAATTAAATTTGATATTGCTTGATCCACAACACCAATCCTAGTGACGCTGAAATTCTTAGGGCGCAAATATGCACGTCCCGCGTCAGGATTTTCTTTTCTTAACTGACAAAGTTTATTATAGCATTGCACCATTTTCAGCTTAAATCTATCGACTTTTATATAATTACTATCATTCTCGTCATCAAAATCAACTTCTGCTTCTTCCAATTCTTTTATCCTTGCATCACATTGTTTCATAGTCTTCAAAATGTGTTTAATCTTTTTTCTAATCTTTTTCTCAGGGCTCTCTTCGTTAACATAATCTTCACCTTCATCCTCAGTCACATCCTCATTTTCGTTCTTATTCTCCTCCATCTTCTTTTTATCACCATCGTCGTCGTCATTGTCATCGTTATCCAATTTTACTTTATTATTAACTAGGTTGTTTGTGGCATAGGAAGTAGAAGGAATTGCATCATAGATTTCATTATTCTGTAACGTCTGACATTTCCTCCTAGTCTTCGTTTTCATTTCTTGCATCACTTCCTGTATATGCCTAAATATTGTTTTATTGTTGCTATCTATAATAGCTTGGCGATTTTTATTTAATAACCTAGTAAAAGTTTCTGATCCAGCATAAGTTGGATCCAGAGTTTCGTAACGTCTTTTTAACTTGTCAACAATCTTACACATATTTGTCTTCTCGTTCTCCGGACACTTTTGCAAACACAAGCTTATAAACAGAGGAAAGACATCGTGTGAAATGTACGATATTGTTCTCTTCTCCTTGACGACCAATCGCATGCTTTGAACCTCTTCTTTTTTATGTTCGTTTGGTTGTACATTAAGATCACATTTAACGATATTTATCTTAACCTGATCAGAATTTAATTTTCTCCTTTTTTCCATATTATTCATAGTTGTGTCTTCCTTATCAGTAGACAATCTACGTTTTAAAATATGATTCTCTCCAACCTTTCCATTGTCGCCTAACAAAGTTTCCACTTTTCCAGAAGCGACAGGTCCAGTACCAGTCTCCGTAGAATTGGTCTGAGGCTTGTCTGTCTTGTTTTCCTGCGGCAATAAATTTCTAAATCAATATTTGAATATTCGTAAAAAAATAATGTAATTATCGTAAAATAATTCCTCATTCTTTTTTTTCTTGTAAACTAAGCAAACTGTCACTCTCCTAAAAACTGATTTTAAACGGACTGCAGTACACATAAATTTTAGCAGAGTTTTATCAAACCTTTTGTGAATCAGACTCGTCATCGGACGAGATACAGATAACCTCAGCTTCCATTATTCACGTTCGAAGTGACAAGTGACAAATTAGCGGGCGAACGCTACCGCCAATCAAACCTGCACTTGTAGCTTGACGTCTCCTGAATTATCCTGTATGACCTGTCAAACAGCGACATATTGACAATAACGTACAATTTTTATCGATCACGAAAAACACTGCGAGTTCGACGGGTAACCGTCCACGACCTACGCAACGATATCCTATCGAACGTCTGTGCGTCTAACCGAGAAAATATTTTGCGTATCAGTAATTTTCGCGACCGTACGTTGAAACCGTTGAAACTAGCGAATTGTTCGAAAAAAATGGGCCCGTGCGCGGACACGCATTTTCGGCCTCTTGAAAATAGTAACTTTAAGGAAACCATTGGTCCGCCGAGAACTCTGGCCCCGAAAACAGAAAGGCAGCTTTTACTACTTGCCTGGCTTCTAATTACTTCGTTGGTCTCGATTCGTTGACGAGCATGGAAGTTCACGTATCGGCGAGAAGTTGATGCTCCATCAACGGAATACTTTGTATCTGAACAACTCTTTAGTCTCAGTTCTTATGTCGATATCGAAGATGAAGGACAGAAAAACTATCTTGCACATAGAAATTTTGTTACTCTCGCTCATGCGATATCTAAAATACGAAGATTGGAATGTTATTAATGGGTATATATGCAATGCTATTGGTCACTTATTAGGGAAATTTGATCTTCAGTGATGGTACCATGGGTAAGAAAATAATTGAGAGCTCTGGTTGCACGTAACGATCACAAAAAAGAAAAAGAAAAAGTGTCTAAAGGTTTATTTGCATATATAATGACGTTGCACTTTATGAAAAACAGCAATATGGCGTCTTCCATATCGGACGTATGATTGGTCAATACCTCGATATGCATGTGACTAGGGTAACATTGTTTGAACTAGCCTTAAGCCAACCGAAAAGAAAAGAATTATCCTAGAGTACGCTAGTATCGGTGACGGTCGGTGCGTAAACCAATCCACTGCACATGCGTACGGGGTACTTCTGGGATTAGCGCTGACAGCGCTCTCTACATTAATCGCGTTCGGTAGGAACATCAGCTTCATAAGCTCGCAGTGATTCGTTATTACGATTGGTTTCTACACTTGTATAATAAGTGCGTTAATACCGGCTTACAATAAATTACAATAAATAATTTGTAACAATAACATTAAGAATTTATTTTTGTTTTTTAGTCATTTTTTGTTTAATAATTTATATTAGTGTAAAAACAATAATTATAATATCCCAAACACATATCTTTTAAACATGCGTGCTAACGATTTAAAGAACAAGATTTTAAGAAAAGGTTCTGTTAAAAAATGATTCTATCGAAATACTCGGAGCAGGGGAGCGATCACGTGCACCGATCGAATTCGAATTCGAGAAGGAATATGCCATCCGATACCACTCTTCGTACATGATCAATCTATGGTCTGAGGGAAACTATCCTATAATAAATAAGCATGAACCATGAAAACTGTAGAGTAGAAACGTACGAGAAGTCGACTGATCGAATTCGATCGTGCACGTAAATCCAATTCTGGGGAGCGATCGCGTGCACGATCGAATTCGATCGGTCGACTTCTCATACGTCTCTACTCTACAGGTTTCATGGTTCATGCTTATTTATTATAGGATAGTTTCCCTCAGACCATAGATTGATCATGTACGAAGAGTGGTATCGGATGGCATATTCCTTCTCGAATTCGAATTCGATCGGTGCACGTGATCGCTCCCCTGGTGCGTTCTTCTGTAAAGAACATACTTCGACTCTTCCCCCGAGCAAAGTCGAAAAGTATTGATTGAGTTTTCAATTAAATGGAATTCTAAATGGAAAACGACATGTGTCGGTTTGTGTAAAAAAAATATCAACTGCGTTTTCTAAAAGAAAAGCAGCCATTGGTGTTTGAGACTGTGTCATGATGCACCAATAGCGACGCGTGACGCGCTCAGTGGAAACGCATATTAAATGCACCAATTGGAATCTCGCGGACTGGATAGTAGATTCTACAAAATTTCCTAGCAGTTTCGACACGCCTGAATCTACCATTTCAATGTGCATTCCTGCGCATGGACACTAGATTCTTTCCGGTTGTGAATCGCGTGCAGCACGATGGGTACGTTGCAAGTTTGCCTAATATTGTCGTAATTAAAAAAATAGCGTTTGTAAAAAGCGTAAATCTTTCGACGGAAACTCCGCCGATTTATTTCGTTCAATGTTTCGTACGCTACGCGCACTCACTAGTGTACAAGTCATACTTTGCCCCTCGACGTGATCGTGTAGCGTGGTTTCGAGGTGCCGAGAATAACTTGTAGCAATAATTTTCAGACCATACCAGTATAGTATTTGATATTATCTCAACAATCATATTTTATAACCAAAGACCTGGATATTTCTAGTGTTTCTCTGTATTAAAAATTTTATTTGTGTGTCCGAGAAAATACGACACGAGACATAACCTAATTATTCACTTCCTTTACGTTTGTAGGTAAACCCAGAGGTCTTCGCACCGCGCGTAAGCACGTGAATCACAGACGCGAGCAGCGATGGAACGATAAAGACTACAAAAAGGCACACTTGGGAACTAGATGGAAGGCTAACCCTTTTGGTGGCGCCTCTCACGCTAAAGGCATCGTCTTGGAAAAAGTGTAAGTAATAACACCCGTGTGATAATTCACATTTGCCTGTGGTTTGTCGCTTAATGCTAAATTATCGGTGTCCCATTCAACAGAGGAGTCGAGGCCAAACAACCCAACTCTGCCATTCGTAAATGCGTCAGGGTACAGCTGATTAAGAATGGAAAGAAGATTACAGCCTTCGTACCGAGGGACGGTTGTCTCAACAACATCGAGGAGAACGACGAAGTTCTAGTGGCGGGCTTCGGTCGTAAAGGCCATGCTGTCGGTGACATTCCTGGAGTACGGTTCAAGGTGGTGAAGGTCGCGAACGTTTCTCTGCTTGCTCTTTACAAAGAGAAGAAGGAGCGACCTAGATCGTAAAGCATCAATCTCCAGAGATGTATTGACAAAAAATAAAGTTAACGTCCTATATTGATTTCTTTATTTCAGTCTTGCGAAAGTATCTTCCTCTGCATTGATAATCTATGATGCATTAATGGATTATTTAAATAGATAATTGTTTTTTTATATTACATAAGTATTTAACGTCATAAATTATATTAAGTCATGGCTGCATACACGAGATAAATACAAGATCATTCAGTCACCGTTTAGGTTCTCGAGTTGCTCGTTGCAAACTATTATATCTTCTATAATTGCGTTTAAAGGTGCGGCGGTCTCTGGTAGTCCCTTTGCTAATTTCACGTTAGATATCTCTTCTTTTGCTCGCAGCACCTACGAGTAAGATTAAAGAGCCACTTTGACATTCGTGAGAATTTAGCAGTAAACTGATAGAGAAGAATCTTACCTTTTTCAAAGAGGCAAAGTTGGAGCATATACTTTTCATGTTCGTACAAATGGAATCGGAGATATTTTTGTCCAAACTCCTGGCTCTCACCGGCCAAGACGAAATCGAGCGAAACGCCTCGATAAACTTTTCATTCGTTTTGTCGAACAGCGCATCCTGCTCTTCACTAACCAGTCTATCATCAGTCTACATTAATTATCGTATAAAAATATTAGTTATCTGTGCATTATCTCGTTTGTAATTGTATTAATATAATGTCGTTGCACCTCTGTGTGCAAGTCTTCAGGTAAGTTAGTTCTAATTTCTCCACAATCATTGTCCAACATCTTTTTCTCAGTCTCTTCAAGATATTTAATAGCTTCTGCGTAACTCATTTTTGGTTCAACGACAGGAAGAAAGGGAGCCTGGTGAGCGTCATCGATGCATAACTAAAAGAATATGTACAACATATATTTGAAATACGTCGATTTACGAAAACGATACATTTTTGCAACATTATCATATTCTAACGTACCTTAATAATATCTATCTCTTCCGTCTCATTTGTACTTGCGACAGGTTCCACGTACACCTTTCTCATGAAGTCTAGCAATAATCTTAAAGTTGGCAGTTGCTCTTTCAACGAACATTTACCCTAACGTAAAATATTTCATATCGCTAATATAAGATGTCAACGTTTACTTGGAAAGTATTTTGTGAACATACCAGTAACATATCCTTGTTCTTGCAGATCCCAATCTGAGAGTAATATTCAAATAACTGATCTAAAAGGACAAATATATGTATATGCATAGTTTTCAACATTAATGACTTCAAATATAAATTGTTGTGTTGCACATATAAAAGTTCATTGCAGAATAAAAATTGGGAATAACAGACACGCTTTCTACTGCTGCACCGGTGAACTGCTGCAATAAATTGGAGTCAGGCCCGGTTTCACCAACGTTGTTTAACTTTGAGCTCGGCTTAATTCGTTCTTTGTCTCTTTCCAACTGTTATGCTAGAAAGAGACAAATGTGAATTAAACTAAGATTAAAGTTAAGCGACGTGTGGCGAGGCAGGGGATAAGACAAGTATATTGTTTCTCATTCTAGCTTACTGCACTAGTTCACCAGTGCAGCAACAGACAACAAGCCTATAATTTCCCGTTTAGTTGTTGAATATATATATAGATATTCAGCGTCAACAACAGCAAATTGTACAATTGACAGGATACCTTCCAAAGCATCGTTCTTCAACTTTCCTAAATTGGCGACAATCGACGACGGCGGCGACTTCTCCGTCAGAAGCCAGGACAATAGAGAAACCCGATTTTCGCCAGTGAGAATCGTTGCCTCCAGGTCTCTCGACTCCACGTTAGTAATGTGTGGATATCGTAAGTGCAATAAGGTGTCGTATATACTTGTTATAACATCGTCCGCGTTATTCATAGTAGCGAATTGTAAGGTGCACGTAAAAAGGAAGCTTGGGGAACTTAACGCCGGCCGCGGAGGAAACTTAAATTTTGCAATGTCTCGATTCAGACGTTAATTTTCCGGCCAGTTCGCGGAAAAGTCAGTCAACAAAGCCATACTGTATGTCAAAAACGATGTTCGAAGTTTTAAACAACGAGCGTGAGTAGTGAGATCAGGCAAGATGGCAGAGTCGCGCACAGAACGCGACGAGGCTTGTCGCGCGCGGGGCGGAAGTTGGCGCGATGACCAATCAAGTCTTCCGCCGCGTAGAAAAAGTTCAACTTTGTCCAACTCCGATTGGCTACCGCGTCAACTTCCGCCGCGCGGCAAACTTTGCTGTGCTCTGTGCGCAGAGACCGTGAAGTCTGGCGGCTCGATCGTGAATCTTTTCCTCTAGCGTGGACTCGTGAAAAGCGAAATATTTCATTAGCCGCGTTCGACGTTGCAAATCCGAGACGTCGGAGTGCTCGTTTGCATTCGAGCGAGCGAGAAAGGAGGATGATACATAGAAATGGAGAAAGTGCACTCCGACGCCTCGGATTTGCAATGCCGAACGCAGCCGTTGACGAATCCAATATTAGTCAATAAAATTTTTTACTTTTTCACGAGTTCACACTGGAGAAAAGATTTACGATCGAGCCCCTGATCTACAACGAGCTTTTTAGAAACATTCCATTTTGCGCACGTAAATTAAAACGCTCAAAAACTTATCGACAATGCACGATTGTACAATGTATAAGTTTTTGTACAATATATTTATCAACTTGCACGAATTTTTTTAAACGTATTTATTGGCTATAAAATAAGAATGTTCTAGACGCAAAGAGCTCATTGTGCATCTGGGGCTCGATTCTTGAATTTACTCGAAATAGAAACGAATACGAAAATTATGCTCTTACAGAAAACTTGCAAGTCGATTGGTTGTTCGCGTAGCTTCTAGCCAATCGACTTATAACTTTTCCGTTCCAAGGAGAAATGAAAAGTCAAGATGACGTCAGTTTGATGTCATATTGACCAAAATATGACTTAAATTTGGTCAATATGACATCATCTTGATTTTCATTTCTCCTTGGGGTAAGAACAGAATTTGTGCATACGTTTATCATACGAACGAATTCAAGAATCGAGCCCCAGGCTTAAAGGTTGAAAATTCACGAAAAAAAATGTCAAAGCGTGGCTCCATATATGCATGATCCAACTTACAGTCGCTCGTTTGATCTCGACTTTCATCACATATGAGATTCTGTTTATAAAAAGCTTGATTTAAGTTTCACCAAACGTTGCTTAACTTTAATCTTAGTTTAACTCACGTTTATCTCTTTCTAGAGTAACAGATGGAAAGAGACGAAAAACGAATTAAACTAAGCTTAAAGTTAAGCGACGTTGGTGAAACCGGACCTAAAAGAGTTAAGGAATCAAAAGTTTCAGAATTCAGTACTGTGTTACCCAAGGATAGATATTCAATAAAGATTGCGTCAATTATAGAATTTGTATATTTCAGTCATCATATTTTAGAAATATATAACTTTGAAGAACCAGATTCTTTACAAAATATCCTTTATTAAACAGTTTACGCTTAACGTGAATGCATGATGTTCAAAATAAATTTATTATTTATAGCTTAATACCAAGAAAAAAACGAGTTACTATTTCTAATAGCAAACATTCATCAATAAATGAAAAAAAATTAAATATAACATGACCGCCCGAAATCTTATATTATAACATAAATATGGATTGTAATCTTCGGACAAATTTTTCTTATCCAACTGTGTAAAGGTATAACACACGACTTAGGTAGCTTTGAAGAAATCCTCTGAAGTGGTTGTGTAAATGTGTCCTTCGCAGAGAAGAAAATCTAATATCTCATTTACACGAGATACAATATGTTTAGGTACTTGTACCAAGATCTCTCGTTTCTCAATTCCGCATTCAGACTCGTTTGCCGATCGAACAACATTGAGAACTGCCATTTGCTCAGACGACATGCCGCTACTCATAGTGCTATCCATCACTAACGAGTTATCAGTATACGCAGTGGATTCTTCAACAGGTTTCTTAGCCTTCAATATAAAATACATGACCTCCATAAAGTGGCATGTCAGATCGTTCAAATCCTCCAGAGGATGCATACGCAGGATCAATACGTGCCGTTGGTTACTTTGCGTACGCAGCAACCCATAAACTCGTACATACGTATTGACTTCTGTGCAACTGTTACTCTCTGCAAGATTCTTATCTGCTTCCAGCCACATGATAGCTGTAACGGTACCTGTTCGACACACATAGGAAACCAAATCTAAGTAAATCTTTTGCTGACAACAAAAATAACTTAAGAACTTTCGACAATACATTAATTATGTTATATGCACGTTTTTAAGACCTAATTGTATAAAATTTTGTTACGTGTACACACAACGCGGGCGCGTATGTGTATTGTAAGCACATACGTGCATAATTAAAATGCTTTCTACATATAAGAGAAATTATGCTTTTAATGTACAAACATAATATGACATATGAGCGATCTTTTTCATTGTATACAAAGACCTAAATAGATTAAAAACAACAAAATATCAATCTGTCAAAAACTTTTAACAATATTGCGTTTTGAAATTGTACATTATCCTCAAGATCAAAACTACACCAAATAAAATACCCGTATCATCCTCGATACTGAATGAGATTTTTGTCGTGTCCTGTTCGATACGACGTACGATTCCGACAAATGTTAGTTGAGTCACGGTTCTGCCAGCGACTTGTAGGTCTCCCGTGGTGGAGGTGATATGTTTTATCAATACGGGAACGATGCTCTTATCGTTATTTTGCGGTTTTTTCCCGGTATTGCCGCCTTGCGTACTTTCATCCAAAAATCCACCCTTAAGGCTCACAGAGTTGTCGTCCCACATAGTTGTAAGTGACAAACACCGAGAGGTGCAAACAAAAACTGAAGAAAAGACAGAAGTTTAATCTTTCGACAGATTGTACAAAAGGCTGAATTCACGCGCGCGAAACGCACATTAGGTTAGAAAGCCACTCTAGTGACTTCACCACTTCTACCATGCGTCCGATAAAAAGGGAGGGGATAGCGTTGGCACCAACGAAAATCCCTAGGTAACAAATCAGAGAGAAACCTGGGGCAC